TATAGATTAATGGAGGTTTCGTGAATACTGTAGTCATCTCTCACAAGTCTACCGTCTAAGTGCTTTGCCGTATCCATTATTGCCTACAGCTTCAAGGCTTCTTATGCTAAATACTAGTGAAGCTTTAATGCCACTTCCATCCCTAAATTAAGATCCGACTTCCTTATCCCCTCCCAACCCAGTTTATAATTTAATATGTATTTCCCTTCAAATTCTGGATCGACTTAATGAGCCATTGGACTGCATCACTTTCAGATTTCAACAATCCCCGGCTTCAAATTCTGGAAATGGGCGAGTTGTTGCACATCAGAAAGCTAAACCACGACATCGATACGGCTGTCTACCAGTGCAACGTCTCCAACCCATTGGGTTACGTGTTCGCTAACGCCTATATAAATGTATTCGGTACGTGGTATATTTTGTTCCTACAAAATTCGCTGTATTTTGACTCATTTAGCCCACGAACCGCGGTTCACTTCGCCTGTAGATCAGATCATTAAAACCACCATCGGGAGCTCCGTTTACCTTGACTGTGACGTTGAAGCGGCACCCTTGGCCAAAATCAAGTGGATGGATAGCAAAGACCGGGAAATTGGCTTTATGGATAGCAAATTTGAGGTCAGAATAAAAAGAGTTTTTGAATAATTCAAGGTAAAAGCTTGTTAACATGATTTGTTTGCCATATTACATGAAACATTGTCTGGGAGCCATTTATTCATGTAGAATGTACTTTAAATCTGTACATTAAAAGTATCTTATAAATTAAGTACTGCGTTACTTCGTTAATTTCCATTTTCCTCTAACCTACTTATAATACAAACGGAACTGTTCCATCTTTCTGACACTCAAGAGGTTCAGTTTTAATATAAATAGGATGATTAATATTTATGAATTACTATTAGTCCGATTTTTTGTGAGTGGAAAACCTAAAAGAGGGCTAGATATTGGCCTGTGCTCTCTGTGTTGACTGATTTGCAACTGTGGAGAAGCACCTGATTTATGACAACTAAGGGTTCTATTTATGTAGCTTTAATTGCTTAACCTTGATATTTTACCCTTTCTTACATGAAAACGTGTATTTTCATTCTTACTTACTTACTTACTTACTTATTTTCTTACTTTCTTACTTACTTACTTTCTTACTTACTTACTTTCTTACTTACTTACTTTCTTACTTTCTTACTTACTTTCTTACTTTCTTACTTACTTTCTTACTTACTTACTTACTTACTTACTTACTTACTTACTTACTTACTTACTTACTTACCTACCTACCTACCTACCTACCTACGTACCTACCTACCTACCTACCTACATACCTGTTACTAATTTTCTGAGTTACTGACTCGTTTACTTGCTTGTTTACAAACTGAATTTGCTTTAGCTTATGGGAAACAATACACTGAAGATCTCGGAAGTGAACCTGTTAGATAGCGGCTTGTTTTTTTGCCTAGTAAACAACAAGTACGGTATTAACAGGGCTAAACGCAAGCTGGAAGTTTACAGTACATAAACTCTCAAATGTACTATATGCTGAAAAACTTATTACAGGACCTACGTATTTCACCGTCATTCTTCCAAAAGAAAACATTGTCGCGGAGGCCGGCATGACGATTCCTCTCAGATGTGAGGCAGAAAAGGACGGCAGATTACGTATTCACTACTCGTGGTTCAAAGATGACGTGGATATTGCGCAGAAGCTTTCGAAGGATCCTGCATACAAGTAGGCAAAATGTGATTATTGAATAGAAGCAAAACGTTTGTCGTAATTTTGCTATTTTCTTTACAATTTAAAAGGATAGCCGTCCTTGGGGTTTGAATCGACGATCGAACCAATGGACAAATGTCATTTCATTAACAAATGATTGGGGTTTCCCGTTGATCACGTGAATTATGTATAATCAATTTAATTTTCTCCAACAATACGCAAATTCTTCGCATGATTATCATCGCTGAACCGCTGATAGTACAAATAGTGCTAAAAGGAAACTTTTGAGGTTTGTGGAGCAAAACCTGTTGCACATCGTGAACGTTGGAGGTCGACATTCTGGTATCTACAAATGCGTGGCTAAAACCGATGTCGATTCGGTCGAAACATCGATGCTGCTCACTGTAAAAGGTGTGGATTGCAATTGGGCTTCTCTCTGAAAAGTACTGACTGGTTTCTACTTTTTTTAGACGTCCCCGATAGTCCATTGATCATCGATATCAATTGTGACGAGCGACGAGCTTTGGTAAAATGGGCAGCCGCGTTTGACAACTACGAATCGATGGAAAAGTATTTTGTAGAGTACCAAACAGAGTTTCATCCCAATCTTTGGACACTTGCAGTGGTACGTTAATTTCAAACTCTTATTACCGACGCTATTACATTGGACTCGTGTTTCTTCCTACTGTTGCACATGATGTTGAGAATGTGGCCTTGAGAATCAAACTCTGTTTCCAGGAGGAAGGGCAATAATTAAATATAATTTTTGTTTTCTTCATGTCATCTTTCGTAATGAAGTTGGGCCTTCCAATTTTTGCGAACCATAGACTAATGAATTTAAAGTTGTTAAAGTGGCAGAAAAATTGGTATCTACGTACCTGCCGTTCTTCTTCACTGCTTGATTCATGCTTAGAAACGTCATTATTTTTCCCTATTGAATGCATATACTGTTACCACACTGAATACCGTCAGCCGTCATTCATCGTGCATCATTACATCGATGAGCGTCACATTTACGCACGCACGAACGTTTGCATGGCATAATGAATCGATTTCACCCTGCTCGTTTTTGGATCTTAATAATACAGGTAGTTGTAATCTTTTTCTGGATATGCCTTGTTGATGGCTTTCGCCTAGACTGTGGTATGTATTTTTCGAAGATATATAGCATCCCCTGTTTGTCCTGATTTGATCCTATATTTTTGTTTTTGCCGTCGTCTACTTTTTAAAGAAGAAAAGGAACAGTACATTAAAGACGTGTTTAACGTGGTTATAGAATGCGAAAAGAGACAGCGGTGTAAACAGTGGAAAATTTTGCCTCCGAGTTATAAAGCAATTGGCAATTAATTAATTGTAATTGCCTAAAGACGCCAAGCATATTATGTAGCCTATTTTATTAGTGCATGTACTAACAGCTTGTTTGTCAGCTGTTCTGAAGATCATTCGACATACCTGGGGTGTCTAAATTAGGTAGTTGGATATTGCTCGAAATGGATGAAGTAATATACTTTATTGCATCATCATGCGTTACAAAAAATATCCGGATAACTGTCTAGACTAGAGATGTTCTGTTCAAGGAGCCAAAGGTGGGTTTCCCCTTAGTACTCTCGGTTGAATTCATTGAGCGTTTCTCTTATCCTTGGTGTCTTATAGCCAGCGTCTATGTTCATGTTTATCAGCGGCAGGGAATATATCGTCAGGGGGCAAAGGCAATGAGAAGTAGGACATAACTTGATAGAGGTAGCCCAGAACAGCTGCAATCTCTGATACGCAGGTTTATCTCAGCTGTGTCATTGGCTACTATTTCAGAGATTCCATTTAATGAGCTATAAAACCCCATCGATGATATCATCATTTTTCACTATTATGTGTACACAACTTTGCTCAT